TATCATAATTATACTGGTCTATCTTTCCAATCCAGCGTGCCAGTTGTCCCTCTCGGTTTTTTAATGATCTTAACCAGCGTAATACAGCATGGTCTGTCCTGATGGTAAACCTGACACCATAGAGGTAAGGATGGAAATATGTCAGACTCCTTACTATTGCAATGAGTTCCCTTTGTGTTACATAATAGTTCCTCTCTGGTCTACTCAGGACCCTACTGAAGTAGACCACCACATGTTCGTTTTCACCAACTTTCTGAGACAACATTCCTCCAATTTCGACATTACCAGCATCACAATCCAGTATGTACGGCAGTGAAGGATCTGGAAGCTTCAAAAGTGGAGCTGAGGCCAATTTTTCTTTCAATGTCTTGAAAGCATGCTGGCAAGAAACTGTTCATTTAAACTTCTGGCCCTGTTTTGTGAAATCATGTAGTGGAGCAACTATAGTTGCAAAGTCCTTCACAAACTTCTGGTAATAGGTACAGAGTCCCAAGGAACTTCTTAACTCTCCCACATTGTCTGGTGTTGGCCAATCACCGCACTGCTTTCACCTTATCTGGATCAGTTTGCACACCATGCTCACTTACAATGTGACCTAAGTAAAGCATTTCTTTCTGGAACAAGTGGAATTTCTTGGGATGTAGTTTGAGGTTTGCTGCTTTCAAACGCTTGAATACTTCCTCTAGCCGGGACATTTCCTCATCAAAAGTTGTTGCAAACACAATGACATCATCCAGGTACACTAGGGCTAATCTCCATTATAGGCCTTCCAGTACCCTTTCCATCAGCCTCTCAAATGTTGCTGGAGCATTGCTAAGCCCAAATGGCATCACACGATATTGCCAGAGACCTTGACCATAACTAGATGCAGTCTGCTTCAGCCATTTTCACTTGATGAAAACCCGACTTTAAGTCCAGAGTTGAAAACCACTTGGCACCACTTAGGGCATCGAGAGTATTATCAATTCTTGGCAGCAACACTTACTGGAATCTGGCCTTTGTTGTTTCCAATCGTCATTTTATCGAAGTTAACTACACACTTCCTCGGTAGTAAATAGTCCAATCCTAATATGCATTGGTCTTCAATATCAGCCAAGTATACTTTCTGTCTGTTCTTCATGCTCATAAGCTCAATAGTTACCCAAACTGGTCCCCACAATCTTGCATAATGTCCTGTCACACCACAGAGCTTCTGTACAGTTTCTGGTACCCCTCTGTGATCCAGCATCTTGATGCTC